ATAGTGAAAAAATGAAAAAGAGTTCTATCCACAAAGAAAAAGTGTTTATGCAAAATGAAACTGTGCTGTGGGATGTTTCATTACAAATGACATTGGAGTCAACATGTTAAATATTTTTAATTTGAGTTATTCTTGTGCAACATTTCCACCTGCTTGGAATAAAACTATAATTTGTATGATTTACAAAAGGGGAGATGCAAAATTATCTCAAAATTATTGGCAATAGCTTTTTTTATTGATAAGAAAAAGCTTCAGTTGTTTCCTGTTAGAAAGACTTATTTGTTGGACTTAGAAAAATGGCTTAATGACACACTTTCAACTAGCTTTTCAAAACAATAAAGGAACCAAAACGTCCACATTTATTATGATTTCTTTACTAAAATTATATTTACTAAAAAATCAGAAAAATTATTTGTCACCTTTATAGATATTCAAAAATCCTTTGACTCAGAATATATACTGGCATTGATAAACTGATAATGAAAAGAGCAGAAAAATGTTACAGAAGTAATAAATAGTTTATTTAACAGTTACTGCATGTAATGCTTTAATGTGTAAGAATTTTGACATGTATTTTCGTGAAATGACTGGCATGCTGCAAAAAACCAGGGAGACCAGCATGCCAGAAACCCTGGGTTATTAGCATGCTAGTTAAAACTGCGACTAAAACATAAAATTAATCAATGTAACAAAATTAGTTGTTAATTAAATGTTAAAGAACACATTCTTCTGATTACAATAAAATAATAACATTACAATTGGACCAACTTGAAATCAGAGTTTTTGTTTACAGCACAATAAAACAATTAACAGCCTAATGACATTAGTAGTAGTAGAAGTTAGTTTGGGCTACACTGACCATCTACTTTGACCTTAAAAATAACACCTTCATCTTAAATTTCATACAAAGCTGATGTTAATCAGTGTATCAGTCCAGATAATTTACTGCCAGTTTCTGAAATTTAAAATGCTTATTTTTGCATTTTTAAATTGAATTACAATAAAATAAATGTAAAAAAAGTACTTTTGTCATCCCATGAATTGTTATAAAGGACAAAATGAAGAAATTAAACATATAATCATGGTTTTTGATATAACGCTGATAGTTTGATAGTTTCGCAGTTTTAAAATAAAAACTCATTAGTTTTTTTAATGCAGCCTCTAGAGGGATGATTTATAACCTCACTTAAACTGGCATGCTGGTTTTTACCTTATGGAAATATCTGATTTCATGATAGATTGGCATGCTGGTCATTCTGCAAAAATATGGTATGAATTGTTGTGTGTGTGTGTGTGTGTGTGTGTGAGTGTAGAATATATGATTAGTTCAAAGTACAGAAGTGTAAATTTTTTGTACCAGAAATTTTGAATGTTGTCTGCACCAATGTCTTTCAATTGTATATTCTTTGTTCACATGTATCACATTGGATGTCATGTACGTTTACTTCAACACAGGGCATGATTAAAGTCTCATGCATGTTTTCTGCCTCTTTGATCCAGCTTATGTATAACTAGACTGGACCAAAGAGCAGACAAATAGTCTATGTAAGTTGTTTATTATTTTTTTTTTTTTGTTACTGTGATTGTGTAGTGAGTTTGGCATGTAGATGTCAATTAGTGTTACCACCCGTCCAGTTTTCACCTGGACAGTCCGGGAATTGACTCACTGTCCAGGTAAACTATTAATTTTGTCTGGGAATTTCATATAAATTGTGAAATTACGATGAAACAAAGTTCTTGTAAATATTTTTACAAATTTACACTATTTTAACAGCAAAAGAACTCACACTCACTGAAACTTATCTGCAATTCTGCCATTTTAGCCTGTTTATGCCAGCGTGTGGCGTGCAACCTTTTTTTCTTCTTCTTCTTTTTTTGCATGTACTGCACAATCACATCTATGAGCTAGGTTATCTGTACCTGTTCTTTCTTAATTTAGGTTACTTACGTTACTCCTACGCAAGTCCCTAGTTCCTAACTGTAACTGATTTAGAACAGGCATGCATGTTATTCTTCGCATTGTAAAATGGCATTGCGCATGGTCAGGAACTTCTGTTTGAACAAACCTGACCTGCCATCCAGGTCAGTTATTTTGAAAAGGTGGCATCACTAATGTCAATAGAAAAGTGTATCATTATTTATGAATAATTTTTTGTTGTTTTCATAGCATTCATTTGTGACTTAGTTGCTAGATTTCGTTTGAGAGAGTCAATTTATAGCTGTATGTATTGTATTATTCATGCTGTGTGTGTGTTTTAAATTTTCTGAATATTTTCCTGATTTCATTAAATTTGGTGTTATGTTACTTTTAGTGTACTGTGTCATCCTGTCTAATTGTTGTCTAATATTATGTATTTGTGTTTCTGGTCTTCTTTGCCAGGCAAGCTTATGATTTGTCTTTTTTTTCAGTGTTTGTTTGTTGTGATTATAATTTAAGACTACGGTATGTAGCTACAATGACTGCTCCAGAATAGACTAACATATATGTCTGAAAGTGTTGATTCTATTTGAATGTGTTTTAGTAATATACCGTGTTTCCCCGAAAATAAGACAGTGTCTTATATTAATTTTTGCTCTGAAAAATGCGCTAGGTCTTATTTTCAGGGAATATCTTATTTTTTCCAGGAAGAAAAATTTACATTTATTATTGAACAAAAAAATTCCCAAGTCGAACTTAGACGANAAAATTAAACAAATGAATAAAAAAATTAAATCGGCATAGGATTTCCCATCAGCCTAGATAAAATCTGTAAATAATTTTCATTCAATTTTATTTTCTGAATTAGAAAAATATCTGCAGCTTAATTTACACATTTAAATCTGCTATTATTCCATTTTAAAGTTTCTTACAAGATAATGACTTATATTTGTTGAAAGTAGAAATAATAATTGAATAGTTTGGAATATAGAGGCAGATACAATATTTAAATTTTAAGGAAATGTATTTAAAAAAACAAAATTTTCAAACATAACTAACTATCCTGTACTTTATGTACTAAAGCTGGTGCATAAAATATTCTCTAACATATTCAATAATATGTAAGTTGAAAACTTAATATCAAATCAAACATCTAAATTAATTTGTGAAAGTTTTTCCAACATATTCATTTAATAATTTAATTAAACACTCTACATATTATTACTTCTGTTTGAAAATGTCAGTACATCAATGATTGATCGAAACTTTTTTTTGGAATTCAGAAATAAAATTCAAAACTTGCTCAGCATTTTAGTTAAACTTTCTACAATGTTATCTAAAATAACTGCATAACAAAATTAAAATTTACATTGAAATAACTGCAAAGCACAAAAAACTACACTTTTAGATTTATGTTTTATATTAAATGCTTGATATAAAGTATGATAAGAAATGGGAACGTTTTCTGTTAAAGAATATATAAAATCATATTATATAACATTTATTAATAAACAAATATTTTCAAATTATTATTTTTTAAATAAGAAAAATATCAATAAGATCAATTATCAATAAGAATAAGTTACTATCTTTTAATGACAATAAATCATAATAATGATAAAGAATACTGAAGTGATCTTATTTTGAAAAGATATATAACATAAATATATATTGTTTTAGTTAATTAATAATACATATTATAGTAAACAATTTACAGAATTAATTATACATTAAATAACCATAAATATGAAATTCAAATATGTAATATTTTTTTCTTCATAAAAAGGACATGATCAAAATCAACAGTTTATTTTCTGTACAGTTATTAAAGTTTCTAGTCACAGACAATTAAAATAGCTTTAATGTTTTCAAGTATTGGTATGTTTTCAGTATTGGTTATTCAAATCACAACTGGTTTAATGAAAAGTCATCACAAAAGTCAATAATTAGTAGAAAAAATATATTAAAATAGTTATTTACCTGCATGAAAAATACTTATTTTAATGTTATTACTATATATTCATCAATAAGAAAAATATTTTACTTAAATTAATATATCACATTTTGTGTAAAATAAATGATTTAATGAAAATACTGATTCAGTTATTCTTAAATGAATTATGATCAAGTATTTTCTAATAAGTTTAACAATTAAAATAGAAATTGTGATGTGCATATTGAAATTTCAAGTATATAAAGTCCGTATATTATTTCTGGAACTTCTGTTTTTATTGACATATGGAGTTATATATACTTCCTGGCTCAATTTAATTTCATGTATTCAATTTGGCATTTTGTAATATATAAATTCATAGATAAACTGTATAAATAAATTTAATAATAAAATAAAATTAATATATAAAGTAGAAATTCCTTTTTATGAATCTTCACAAAAGTATGAACAGAGGGTCATGCTCTTAAACATGACCCTCTTTTCATACTTATCAATAAAGTGTTATATTATAATCTTATATGAGTGCAGCAAGATCTTAAAGCATTTAAAGTTTTAATTTTTTTTAAATATTTATCTTCTTTAACACTTAAACTAAATTTATAAAAATGAGTAAAAAAGCACTGAGCAAATTTGGAATGTATATTTCTTGATTCTGGATTTCACAAATAAATTTTACTTTATTTTAGTTATCAACTAAAAGTAATTCAATGAATTTATAATAATTTTCCAAATAAAAATACTCAATGTTTTAAATATAAAATATTTTTGTAAGAAACTTGTCAAAACATACTGATAATGGTTATTATAGCAGTTTCAAAAATTAGTAAAATTTTAATCATCATTATTAAATATATTATTATACACAAATAATTTGAAAAAATATTTTTTTTTTCAAATTATTTAATATTTCCTATTAAATAATTAAAATGAAAAGTATAAATTTCATAATAATATCTAAAAACAAATCTATTTATAACTTAGATTCAAGAATTTCCAAAAATTATCACCATCAAATTAATCTTATTGTAGTTCAATGGCATAATCCTATAGATCAGAGTTTCTCAAACTTTCTAATATCACGACCTTCAAAATGTATATATGTATAGCCTTCAATAATAAACTACTATGTTTTTTTAAATGTAAAAAGAAATGGATCCATTATTCTTCAACACTAAGATTTTAATTTACATATAACACATTAAAAAAATCATACAATCTTATAACTTTTATTTTAATTGGCAAATATTCAGAGGCTGATAATATCCAATAATGGGCTATCACATACACTAATAATTGAAACTTATTCATCTTAAATGTGCTAACAGAATCATTTATACAATTAACTTTTCAAAGCAAGCAATAAACTTAATAATTTCAATAAATTTTGAAAGAAAGAAAAAAAAAATCATAATTCTGTAAGAAGAATCATAACACAGTTTAGGAAACCCTGCTACAGACATTATCTTTGGAATTAAATTGCATTAAAAATATAATTTCTATCATTCATTATAAATTTTGTACAAATTATTTTAATTAAAATTATCTAGATTTTATAATATTCAGTTATTTCAGAAAATCTAATTTTTAAATACATCTTTTCAGTTAATTATTCCATTATCGATTTAATGTAATTTAATTTATATCACATCATTTAAAAAAAATTTTTAAAGCATATCTTAATATTTATGAAATTTATTGATGGGATAGACAATGAAACTATTTTAAATTTAAACTGTAATTTAGATAAAAATTAATGAAAAGTTATAGTTAAAAGTAATGATAATTTGTATTATTTTTAAATAAATGGGTAACATATTTATATGGAATGTTTCAATGGCAATAAATATTCATTAAAGACAAACATATCAAAAATAAATTAATAAGGATTAATTACTGAAGTATATATCAAATTAAAAAAATATTTTAGATTATCAATCTATTATTAATGTAACAAGATTTATAAATGCAACTTTTAAAAATGATTAAGCCAAATAGATGGAAAAATATTGCATACAAAGAAACAAAATGTAAACAAATCTTTCATCCAGCACTTTAATGGACCATTGATAATCATTTCTGATTAGTCATCATCAGACCCAATATGTAAAAAGTTATAAAAACAAATTATATTCCTTACAAGTTTTCTATTAAAATGCATGTTTAAAAAATTCATATTTTAAGTGGAATTTTAAATTAAACATTTTTGAAATACACAAACAAATAGATAGATTAATGTAATTTTAGAATCATTAAAGTATTATAACAATGTATATTGGGTTTAATGATGATAAATAATAACAGTCATAAATAATCTACTGAAGTGCTAAATTACTATAAACAACATTTGTCTGCATTTCTTTTTTTTATCAATTTTCCTTTATTTTTTCACTATTTATATATATGAACTATATAACTTCAAAATAGTTTATCTTAGTTATAATTATAATATATTCTTAAATTCAAATTAATTTTGTAAGCAAAAAATAAAATTTTGAAGCAAAATTAAATCATGATTTCAGTATTTGACTTGTATTTTTGAATTAAAATTTTTCCAAATAAAATCTGAACATATTTTCAAAACAAAGCAATTTTTTTCTTTTAAAACTTAAATTCACAAAACATTATTTTTTTCCTACTATGCAATACCAAGTACTTAAATCAATTACTTGAATGAAAATCAGAATAACTGATGCAAATAATTCAATCCTTCACCATTCTTTAATGTATATCTATATAATGATAATCTATATATATATTTATTTATTTTTAAATTACAGAAATTAAAATATAAAAATGAAGGTAAAAGGTTAATGAAATTAAAATGACTAGATGAGAATATGAAGGAATATATAAGATTTAAAATTTTTGTCTACTTTATTTTTCTAACCACGATGGTGATGATGCATTAGGATTCTTCAATTTAATATTAAATTGTTTCAAAGTAGCATCCAACATTGCTTGATTGCCAGAAAAATATGCTGATATCGCATTATGAAATAACAACAACTGTTTGTGCATTACTTTAACCTGAAAGAAAAAATATGTACTTTTAAATTTTCAGAAAATTTAAAATTTTATAAATATATATTTTATTTTTTTTAAACTTTTAGTTTTATAAAATATATTACTACTGTTTCAAATTAACTTGGTAATAAATATTATAACTTAAAACAGTTTGATATTTCTGAATAATAATAAAACAATATAAAGGGCGAGTGTTGCAGACATGCATGGCTGTGGGTGAAATATAGATCCCTCACTTTTTGTTTGAAATTAAGTTTGTTTGCTTGCAGTTTTTAAATAACTAAATTAGTTTAATTATAACTTACTAATTGGTTAATATGTTGACACACATTAACCAATACTGTAACAGTATTGGTTAATATTCTATTATTGCAGTATTGGTTAATATTCAATTAATAAGTTCAATTATTTCAACTGTTACAGTATGACACATATTACATGTGTGTCATACTGTAACAGTTTTGAAGGGGCCATTTATACATTAGGTGTAAGACAGAAGTTTCCTTAAATCATAGTATATAATATGTCTGAAATACATTTAGTGTATTATTCTAAGGGTTTTAAATTGTGTGGCATCTGTGTCTAAGTTCAAATAATGTTTTTGTGGTACTGAATAATAATTAAATTTTGCATATTAAAAAAAATTTACTGTGAAACAAAGATAACAGTAACAAGAAATTTCTTATTAAATACTTACACAAATACAGATATGCAATTAACTAAAAATACAATATCAGAAAAATAGACACAGTTTGCTGATCAGTATGATGAAATTGATTCTCTTTTATAAGACCTATCAACAATAAAAGTCCAAGAAATTTTAATAAAAACTACATTCAACTATAGCCTTTTTTTGTTTCCAATACTATTTAATGATAATCAAATGTTTAAAGACAAACGTTTTTGAACTAGTTGAGATAATCTTCAGTTCTATGTGAAATGGAATGCATTTTGAAATGTTAACATATTTCGAAAAAACTAAACTTTTCAAATACATAGAATACAAAATTTTCATAATACCAGCATAACTACAGGAAAAGTACAAGAAAACACACAAAAACTGTTGTGAAACCATTTGTTGTAGTTATTACTCCAAGAAATTTTCTTAGTTCACCAACAGAAACAAGTTTCCATTTAAGAAATCTTGTTTTTGGTTTCATTTGAATCTTACTGATATATTGATCTGCATATCTATTTGATTCATGGACAATTATTTCATTATTCAAAAATAATGACTAAATTTCCATTAGAGAGACATTCGGAAATGTCTTCACTATCAGGCAAAAATTTAGAATTGTCAAAATCTAAATCATCTGAACTCAATTGAAAAAAGTTGCCAAACAAACAAATATTAACATTTTGTTTATATGTTTATTTGTTGTTATAAAATTATTATTATACATTAAAAATATGAAATAAAAAAATAATAAAAATAGTGAAAAAATGAAAAAGAGTTCTATCCACAAAGAAAAAGTGTTTATGCAAAATGAAACTGTGCTGTGGGATGTTTCATTACAAATGACATTGGAGTCAACATGTTAAATATTTTTAATTTGAGTTATTCTTGTGCAACATTTCCACCTGCTTGGAATAAAACTATAATTTGTATGATTTACAAAAGGGGAGATGCAAAATTATCTCAAAATTATTGGCAATAGCTTTTTTTATTGATAAGAAAAAGCTTCAGTTGTTTCCTGTTAGAAAGACTTATTTGTTGGACTTAGAAAAATGGCTTAATGACACACTTTCAACTAGCTTTTCAAAACAATAAAGGAACCAAAACGTCCACATTTATTATGATTTCTTTACTAAAATTATATTTACTAAAAAATCAGAAAAATTATTTGTCACCTTTATAGATATTCAAAAATCCTTTGACTCAGAATATATACTGGCATTGATAAACTGATAATGAAAAGAGCAGAAAAATGTTACAGAAGTAATAAATAGTTTATTTAACAGTTACTGCATGTAATGCTTTAATGTGTAAGAATTTTGACATGTATTTTCGTGAAATGACTGGCATGCTGCAAAAAACCAGGGAGACCAGCATGCCAGAAACCCTGGGTTATTAGCATGCTAGTTAAAACTGCGACTAAAACATAAAATTAATCAATGTAACAAAATTAGTTGTTAATTAAATGTTAAAGAACACATTCTTCTGATTACAATAAAATAATAACATTACAATTGGACCAACTTGAAATCAGAGTTTTTGTTTACAGCACAATAAAACAATTAACAGCCTAATGACATTAGTAGTAGTAGAAGTTAGTTTGGGCTACACTGACCATCTACTTTGACCTTAAAAATAACACCTTCATCTTAAATTTCATACAAAGCTGATGTTAATCAGTGTATCAGTCCAGATAATTTACTGCCAGTTTCTGAAATTTAAAATGCTTATTTTTGCATTTTTAAATTGAATTACAATAAAATAAATGTAAAAAAAGTACTTTTGTCATCCCATGAATTGTTATAAAGGACAAAATGAAGAAATTAAACATATAATCATGGTTTTTGATATAACGCTGATAGTTTGATAGTTTCGCAGTTTTAAAATAAAAACTCATTAGTTTTTTTAATGCAGCCTCTAGAGGGATGATTTATAACCTCACTTAAACTGGCATGCTGGTTTTTACCTTATGGAAATATCTGATTTCATGATAGATTGGCATGCTGGTCATTCTGCAAAAATATGGTATGAATTGTTGTGTGTGTGTGTGTGTGTGTGTGTGTGTGTGTGCATACATGCTTGTTGGAGGACC